TGATGCGATCAACCCACATGTTTAACCTGACGCGAGTTTAACATTTTTTACCCATACAAAAAAAAAGTATACAACGCTGCTAAAGAAGTTTTCACTTCAAAAAAAACAGAGAGAAGTCATGCTCCCTTCATTCCTCAAATTAGATTTGATAGATAGATAGCATATTGCAAAGCATCCTAACCAATTATCTGTCGAATGGGGCTTGTGTACTTCATATGGTAACTAATAATTAAATTATCTACTTAAACATAAAATGTATGGTTAAGCTTCGATGGGGCTGGAACATTGTCCAAAAATTCCTAAATATTATAAATAAAAAAGTTTGTAAAGTCTCAAATTTAATAATATAATAAAACAACGCAATAATTGCATTATAATATCTTTTTACGCTGAAAAAGTTAAGCAAAATAAACTGAAAAGCTCTGCTCTATAGCCGAATAGATCCTGCTCAAACAAAGTCTCCAGCTAAGTGGGACTGTAATTGCATTTCAAAAAGTTAGAAGAGAGTAGTGTTTCATTCGGTAAAAGTTGAGTAGCATCTAACTGAAACGAAAAGCTTTGGAAGTGAGTTTGGTTCGTCGGAGATTTAGTGCAGTATTTAAAAGCCATAAGCAGTAAAACGGATGATGAGTTAATTTATAGGTAAGTTAATCTGATCATATGTGAGCATAACTCATAACTGATAAGATTAGTTAGTGCCTTATCAAAATAAATTAATCACAAGAATGATCCAATTCTTTATATTTGATAAAAATCTACGGTAAATAATTAAAAGATAATGTTTTCGCCGTTTGAAATCGTTTGAAACGAACTCATAATAGGTACAGTAACGGCCGTCCGCGTTTCTATCTTCTTTTCTGGAACTAACGGCTGCAGTTAATAGAACAATTTACAATTTGAATATTAATAGAAAAGAGACGATCTTGCATCAGCCGGCTAGCTGCTTAAAACAAAGAGCTACAATCCCCAGGTTTTACGAACGAGGAGAACCCCAGATGGTGATGGCGCCGGTTACATCTTCACGAGCATTTACCATAGTATTTGGTAAATGCTCGTGAAAATGTAACCGTACGTCAAAAAGTAAAACTATATTATTATGCTGATTCTTACGACTACTAATAAGAATTTAGAACGGTGCAAGTGTGAACGGTAAGTACTAGTGATGTAACAAATGTCCTTTTTTGAACATTCGCGAATGCAGATGCGAATATCTGGTACCGCGGTACATTCGCGAATGCGAATATATAGTTTTTGTTCAAAATTGGCGTCAATTGTCTATGGCATGGTAGCAGTCTCTTTAGAATTGCCGAGTTAATATGAAGTCATCCAAATGAAGTGTCATTTCGCTCGCGCCGGTCTTTTCGTAAACAAAACAAGTGAATTTTGAGGTTAGAGTGTGAATAGTGATTTATTTAATTATTTATTAATTAAATGAGTTAGTCAAACTCTAGTGAAATATGGATTTATTTCACACTTTGCGATGCCGAACGAGCTATATGCAAGCTGTGTAACAATCAATATTCAAGGAAAGGAAGGACTACAACTGCTATGAGAAATCATTTAAAGGCAATGCATAAAACCAGAAAATAAATAAATAATGCCAAATGCTAAAGTCAAGACTAATAATGTGATTACAAGGTTAAGTTATTTTTTCTTGTATTAAGAAACATAAGAAATGAATGGATTCTGATTTATGAACAATCTATTATCTTCAAAATGTTTTCTTCTAATATTCACATTCGCAAAACATTCGCAGAGATTTTGAGTGTGTGTGTGTGTGTGTGCAAATGTGAATGCGAATATGCAAAAATATACGAATATCCGCCAATGCGAATGCGAATAATTGTTACATCACTAGTAAGTACGTATGTAGAGGTAACTATTCGATTCGCTAGGCGAGTCGGTGTCGGTTGGAGCACGGGATGCATGATTGAACACAGCGATGACGCAAGAGGCCGGCCGCTTATCGATTTCATTATATTTTATCTTCCATAACGGTGCGCTAATTCCTATACCAGCGATTTTAATTTGGAATATTTACTTATTAATAAAGTTGCTTTCCGTAAAATTACTCAATTTCATAGATCTGACATTATATGCTGGCTGGTGTGAAAGCGACAAGTTTGGAATTCGCCAGTTGCTGAAAATATTCCCTTGCATATTGTTCCATAATGCTGCGCTTATTCCTATACCAGCGATTTTAATTTGGAGTATTTACCAATAATTATACTTCTTTCTTTTGTGACTCATTTCTTTGTCGCACTGTCCGGTGCGGAAGTGACAGAAAAACCTGGAAGACGCCATTTGTTGTAAATATTCCCATAAAGAACAGTAAAAGCCTATCATGTATTACAAAGGACGGGGCGTATTGCTATATTATTTTAACAGTTTAGGTGATGGACTCACCACATAATATTCTTTCTGAAAAAATGTTGGACTCATGTCTCAAGTAGTGGTTAATTTGCTTTTGCTTAAGTATAATTGAATAAGTGATGTTTCGGTGTATACGCAATGTATAATTTATAAGTCTCGAGTTGCTAATGTATATAAGGTGTCTATTTACGTATGTATGTATTCAAATTACGCTTATAGACAATCAACGTTGTTTCAGAAAAAATAAATCAATTAAGCGTATCACGCTATCATGCTGGACAGTGAGGGTATAAAACAATAAATACGCTACGTCGGTATGTACCAACTGATATACTATTGAAATAGATCTTTCCGTACTATCAACGAACAACAGTCGATGAATATGTTGTAACAAGAGAGCTATGTTTCGCTATTATTTCCGGAACCACAAAGTACGGCGGGCGCCCATTTTATTTTGTGCCAGAATACATACAAAAAGTGTCAAAAGTGTAAAATATAACTTTTAATACTAAAATACACTGTCGTGCCCCGCAATGGAACTATATGAGTGAACCTGAATTTTGATTGAAGAAACTAATGAAAAACAAACGTAAGTTGAGTTTTATCAACCCGAGTTGCGAACACTATTTCGCATACTGACTAACTTTGTAGATACAAAATGAGTGAGGAAAAAGGAATAAGTTTGGTTATTACTTGTTTTTGTTGGTGCACGCTATAAAGAAAATGTTTGAAAGAAGTCATTTACAGTTCAGTCAGACTTTTAATTTCGAGTGAGTAAAAACAAAATCTTATGTTTATGTGATTCCACATCTAGTAAATTGACAAATAATTAAAAACAGCATCAGCTATCTCTACACCATTATTATGAGCGAAGTCATTCACAATAATACCGTTAACATAAATGACAAGTGACAGTTTGAGTAGATACTTCTGTAGTTTGTTTCTCCCAAAATATTCAGTTCGAAGTGTTCAGAATCAGCTAAATTTATTCTGGGGTGGTAAAAGCGTTCCTCACAATCCCAAATTGTTGACATGCCGATAGGGAAATAGGTCGAGAAAATGTTGCCTAGTGATTTTCTCATAGTAATGACTTTCTTGGACTTTTGTAATTTACGGAACATACACCCATTGTTACCGAACCTTCAATATCTTGTACTGTACTATTTAATATTATATTCAACCGATTTTGACGAATAAGGGGTTAATCAGTTTATAATTGTGGGATAGGTGAGATTCTACTAATATTGTGAAAGTTTGTAATTTGTAGGATTATTACCCGGATTATTACCTGGATATAGTTTATTACCTGGATTGAGACAGAATACTTTTTATGTTAAGTTCCTGAGGCATTCTCAAGCATCTTTTATTTTGGCTTGTTTAGGAATAGGAATAAAAGCTATGTGGCGGATTACATAAGGGTTGAAAATGGCGTTGCAGTCAAGTTGGGAAATCAAAGAAAATCCAAGTAAATTTAAGTTACTTTATAAAAACTATAGTGTAATAAATACTAGGTAGTGATGTAACGAATGTCATTTATTGAACATTCGCGAATGCGAATGCGGATGCGAATATATGGTGCCGACATAGGCGAATGCGAATATTTTGTTTTTGTTCAAAATTGACGTCAATTGTCTATGGCATGGTGGCAGTCTCGTTCGAATTGCCGAATTGTCATTCCGCTCGCACCGGTCTTTTTGTAAACAAAACAAATGAATTTTGAGGTTACAGTTTGAAAAGTGATTTATTAACATGAGTAAATCAAATTCTAGTGAAGTATGGACTTATTCAACACTGCGATGCTGAACGAGCTAAATGCAAGCTGTGTAACAATGAATATTTAAGGAAAGGAAGAACTACAACTTCTTCAAATTGTTTTTTTCTAATATTAATATTCGCAAAACATTCGCAGAGATTTTGCGAATGCGAATATTCAAAATTATGCGAATGCGGATACGAATATACGTTACATCACTACTTATCAAATAGCAGTTATTTTGAACTGAAGGAAAGAAAATGTTGTACCTACTTAAAGAAAAAACTTAAATAGGTTTTTTTTAGATTAAATAAAGTATGAAAATATAATAAAGATGAATCTGCAGAGTTTCGCATATTAGACCATTAATAAATAATTATCATTTGTCATGTTGTGCGTGAATATCATAAACATTGCAATTTTTGGATTTTACATAAGCTTATATTAATTTTATGTACCCAGAACATCTAATTTGCGAAACAATTCCGTCCATGAAAAATACATATATTTTTTACAGACAACTAAGAAAATATCAGAAAATTTCTGGATTCACAAAGAACATTCCCAAGGGCGTATATTTTTAACTTAAACAAAGGGAATCATGAAGCCTCCAACGCAACCTAATTAGATAGAAAACGAGCAAAGTTCTTGGTATTGGCCGACATTTAATCTCTTCCTAACACTTTGGAAACTCAATTTTGCCACCAATTTGGCCCTGTAATCGGTCACAAGTGACCATAGCGGAATACAAAATGTATATACATAGTATTGTAGAATATTGTAAAGAGAATTCTTTTAATATTGAAAGTTAAAAGTTGTGCGCCGTTTATTGGAATTTATTTTGTAAAGCTTATCACATAGTTTAGACACTTACCTTCGCTCATGAAATAAGGTATCCTAAATCTGCCAGATAACACTCGATCCCTTAACGACTGAAGGGTGGAGCCGTCGAAAGGCAGGGCTCCGCAAACGAGCACGTATAACACCACTCCCAGGCTCTGCAGCAACACATTTTTACTTTTAATATTTACTTAAATAATATAAAAACAGACACACACAACTACTGTTGTACAACTGCCCTGGCAATTTTTTTTAAGTAATTGCCAACACGCCGTTTTTTATCAATCTTAACCCCAACACCTACTCAAAGGATATCTAATAAACTGTACTCACTGCGGGAATACATAATAAGGAATAGTGTCATTTAAAGCATAATTCATCATCAGCTTATTAATGTCCCCACTGCTAGGGTATAGGCCTTCCCTATGGATGGGCCATGACCCACCACGCGGGCCCAGTGCAGATAGGTGGTTGCTAACACCTGCAGATGCAGCCGGGACTAACGGTTCAAGTGCCTTCCAAAGGACGGAGGAGCTCAAGATAGTAAAATTTCGGTCACCCATCCAATGAACGACCACTGCGAAAGATGCTTAAACTTCAACTGTCGCAGCCGAACGCGCTAACCAATTGCGCTATCGAGCTCCTCTAGAGCTTCATTATGAGTGAATAATGATATTATCTCACTGAAATTCGACAAAAAATCCTAGTAACTCACACCACAGCCGATACACAGGTACTTGAAAACAAATTACATTCTCAAACAGAAATAGAATAACATTTAGAAAAGAAATCAAAGCAGATGATATAATTCGACTTCGTTAACAACTATTCATACACCTAAATTAGTGAGCCCATGAATAAAATTACGTAGGTAAAAGTACCTACGTCAAACGATTTTCTTTATATAACAATTTCATGTAGATCACGTTTCCAACGATATCATTATTGGCTCGACTGTAATCTTTTCTATTTCGAGTGAATCTAATATCGGTGAGAGGAGCGAAGGGGAAAAATGTAATGTCTCACCCATATGTCGATTTCGGGGCCTGTGTACCGTTTGCCCTCGAAGACTTCGGGTGCCGCGTATGGAGGAGAACCACACCACGTGGCCAGAAGTTCTCCTGCCGCGTAGTAATTGCTGAAGCCGAAATCTGCTATCTTGATGTTCATATTCGCATCCAGCAATAGGTTTTCAGCCTGCAACAATAAACATTTATAACACCGTCTACCGGAATTAAAATGACGTGAATTTTATTTTAAAAGAATAGAATACGAAAAGAAGTAGCTATAAAGAAGGCTTTTAAATTCCGTATAGCTGATACACAGAACATTATATGGACAAAATCACAAATAACACGGAATGTATTTGTGATTGTACGTTTAACGTAAAGATACGTAACTTTAGTATTTCAAAAACAGATCACATCTTTGTATTTTGTACCTACAGCTTAACCTGAGTACCGCAAATGGGAATTCACTTGACTTTAAAGGTATTAACGGGATTGTTACCATGTACCTTGTTTTTTATGAGTCTCCGATATTTCGGCACTGTTGCAAGCGCCATGATCACGGAGTAACTTACTTACGGCGCTTGTAACAGTGCCGAAATATCGGAGACTCATAAAAAACAAGGTACATGGTAACAATCCCGTTAATATCTATAATGTTAGTGACCATGAAAGTACATTGACTTGTTTATTAGGAATGAAAATATTTTGCTCTGAATTATTCTGTCCGTCAAATCTAATATGAGTGATATCTTAACGGAAAACTTAGTTCCACTTCTCAAATTTATGCGAACATTATAGCTACTAATATAATAATAAAGCACTCTGATACGGCATCTGAAGAATATTTAATTAAATCTTACTTGCTTTTAGGAGTGTCCAGGATCAAAAGATTGATACAAAAATTGGTTTATCTCCCTAGTTTACTTGAAAATTTGGACATTCCCTCTGTTCAAGTGAAAATGTAGAGAGAATCATTATGCTTTCTTTTTTCATTGATAATTAGGTATTTTAAACTCTGTCTGGAGATCAAATTTATAATAACAAAACAACCAACGTATTCATAACGATAAACTATGACGAACATGAACTATGAACAATCCAACCAAAAAAAACTTAAACTCTTTTGAATTAGATTTAATAAGTGTGTATTGTACCTCCCACATACGAGTAATAGCGGTATATGGTATCATATTGGATTTTAATAATAAAAATACATTCTATTTTCATTTATATTCATGTCATGTTACAACCGACATTAAATCTAAGACGTACCTACAGTTATTTTTCTAAGATCTATAATATTTAGAAGAAAATCTTTTCTTATGTATCAAAATACAGACAGGCACAGGTCAAGGTATCCAAAATTGTAAAATTCCTCTTGCTTATTTTGAGTTTATTTGATTTGACTATACCAAGAACAATACCCACCTTGAGATCTCTATGGACAATCCGCCTTTCATGGCAATACTCCACAGCGGAAAGGATTTGCCAGAATTTCCTTCGTGCAGCTTGCTCTGCCATGCGACCATATCTAGCGATATAATCTGCACGAAAAAATAAAAGAATTTATAAGTATGCATTATATAAAATACAAAAAAACTTGAACTTAATATCACTAGAGATACACAATCAAATAAAAATAAAGTCGAAGAAAAAGGTTACGGATTGCTTTATGATTACGCTTTGTATTCCGACGCGATATCATAACGTGTAATTAACTAAAAATGTTAATACTACGAAGAAAATTATAAATTAGATATTCTAATGCACTCGGTAAATTAATAAACAAATTTTTATTTAAAACGCTTAGACCTTGAATGTGATTAAAGCATTTTTCAATAGTACAATTGTCTGTCTACAAACAAATACAACAGTATAAGGTATATAAAGAAAAAAAAAATTTTTACTTGTTCTGACCTAGTGCTTAGTCGGTAATAAAAATTAAAGTCAATAAAACATATTTTATTATCATCATACTTGTGCTGCAAGTAAAGTTGCCCGAGCAGCCAAGGATTTGGGAATGGAGTCCAAATTGGCAAGGAATAGTAGCACAATAAGGTACATAATATAAAAAAATATATTCGAATTTGATGTCCCTAAATAAATAGAAAGTATATCATAAAGATGACTATTATAAGTACACAGTACAGACAGATACACGAGTACATCAAGTAAACTGACTTTCCTCAATACATTGTGATTGGAGTGGCGTCACCCCAAAGGCAGTTGGATAAACTTGACTGTTTAGGGTAATTTAATCTGTGGTACATGTAAACTTCAAGCAGTTAAAATCTGAGATAACTGACTGCTTTTTAAATAATAAAAAAAATAAAAAAAAATGTCCTCTATTACTCCATTGATTTAATCTTAATCTTTGATGAAGAAAAACTGATACAAAACGAAGTCTTTCTGAATACAAAGACGTATAATAATTAAAGAAATTTTCTGTCTAGAATAAAATTAACAAATCAAATGTACTGAGACATAATCTATTTGGTTAAATTATGGACGATTCTCCATGGGGTGACTAAGAATTTGATTAATTATATAAACCTACTTACAGTTGTTCGTTGCGACCAAAATTATTTAATTATTAGGATTAAAATTCATAATAAAACCAATGGAATTTTTGAAAAGGAACGGTATTAGAGGTTATTTTCAAGAACTTTTTAAATGGAAAAAAAAAGTATTATTGTTAAACCTAAAATTTTGTGAATGTCATCGAAAATAGAATTTCACCAAAAAACCTTTGAACTGGCTACCATTTCAACGAGAACTTAATGGTATTCGTGACATGATGAACGTTTTCTTTTATATTGAAATTTTAAAAGCCACCATAACTTCCTAATTTTGGGGATGCTAGTCAAAGTAGGTAGCCTGCCTGATGTACATCTTCAGAATCCGAAAAGGTTAATCCCACCAAAAACATTTTCACGTATAAAGTTGCCAAGACGAGACTATGACTCGCATTGTCAAAAAGTTATCAGGTCTCATGTGGAGCCAAGCTTCTAACTCTAGTGGGTAACACTGAAAATGTTTAGAACTGGCCAGGTAGAAACATTGCTAATAAAAACTTTTTTTGAATTTCATTTTTAGAACTTTTTGCTAAAACTCTTGTTACACGTGAAAATTAACCTAACGCGAAAAAATTTTCGGTCAATTATGACTTTCGTTGTGGGCTAACTCAACAACAAAGCTTTGATAGGCTGCGATTAGCATTTCTTAATGAAGCCCCATCTCGTGCCACTATTTACAATTGGTCTAACGAGTTTAAGCGTGGACGTAGCAATTTCAATGATGATCCGCGTGAAGGACGTCTTTCCACAGCGACTACTAAAGATAACATCAGTGCTGTGCGACGCATGATACAGGAAGATAGGAAGGCTTTGTACCAGATGGATTCTCCATACTTTAACCGACAACCAGAAACACATTCGCATGGGCTGGTGTCGCCAAATGTCAGATAATTTCAACGGCGGTGACTCAAATACTGTATTTGACATCGTCACAGGTGATGAAAGCTGGATATATTGCTACGAACTCGAAACCAAAAGACAATCAGCTCAGTCGGTGTTTCCTTTCGAGGATCGGCTAACTAAGGTAAAGAAAGCAAGAAGTGAAGGAAAAAAGATGATTGCCTCATTCTTTGGTCGGAAAGGTCATTTCGCGACAGTTCTGCTAGAAAATGGAAGGACTGTTACTGCAGACTGGTGTGTCAATCGCTGTTTGCCTGTTGTCTTGAAAAAAATTCGACAGCAGCGCCCTCGAAACAGGATCCTCCTTCACCACGACAATGCTTCAGCGCACTCCGCAAAACGGACTGTTGAATATTTGACTATGGCAGGTGTTGAGATAATGAGTCATCTGCCATACAGTCCTGACCTGGCGCCCTACGACTTTCATTTATTCCCTAGAAGTAAAGATAAACTTCGAGATATTCGCTTTATGAGCCCTGAAGATACGGTGAAAGCGTACCATAGAAGAGACCCTTAAGGAAATATGGGCCCACTGCTTTTCTCAGTGGTACCATCGAATGCGACGATGTGTAGAGAGGAACGGAGATTACTTCAAAAACAATAAAAGTATTGACAACTTTCTACATTAAGAGCCCTTTCACATTTTTTGCAATAAATCGCAATTTCTGAGCGCCTCGTTTGCCCCCTTAGAAGAGATTTTGACTACTTCCAATAGAAGTAAACAATAGATTTATTCTTCCTATTGAAAATTAATGTAGAATATTTTTAAATACTATTTCCATTTTTTTGTACTGATCGTTCTACCGCAGCTAGTTTACGGAAAAATCGATAATATGCACAACTAAAAACGCCTTAATCTCACAATAATGTTCAATAAATTAGATCAAATTAATTACTACGACACCAGAAATATGTTTTTGTTGCAACATAATGTATTAGAATCTTGATTTTCCATCTTATTAATTATTAAAAAAACATCTAACCTCCGTGAGTTTCCCCAAAAAATAACTCAGGTTTACCTCGTATTTTGATATTGAATTAAATAGAATTACTATCAAAAACTGTCATAAAACTAATCTACAATCATTGAACTACTGAAATATGTATATAATTTTATAATAATTTCATTAATTATTATTTTATAAGACTCTGAACATCACCCGTAAAATGCAATATATAGTAGTGCAAATCAAGACGCCGTTCAGTACGGCGCCAGCGCCTTTGGAGGTCGGACTTGTGTCGCTTTGTACCGCACGCGTTCCGAGCGATGCTACGAGTGCATTCATCGTAAAACTGGCTGGATATACTACGACCGCAAAAGTTTAATCGTTGACTGTATGTAAGTATCCACAACCGTATTAAATTTTATTATCATAAGTACCTACCTAGTTATTAATTATCGTTGCTTCAACTAATATTTTTGTTATAAGCTTTTACAATGGGGCGTAAAATTCCTGCTTACCATTGTGTCAAAAAAAACGAAAGAATGATGCAGCCGTAAAGAAAGCTTGTGAAGCAAGATGAATATGCTTATAACATTTCGTTTTTTATTTTTGTGGTTTCAATGGGTATTTTAATTGTATAAAAATGGTGATTTGTCCGGACTTTTCAAGTATCCTTGGTATAAAATTGTAATCAGTCAAGGTACTGTACTCTAATGGCCAACGATTTTAACTTACTGACTTAATGGGTATGTCAATCTATCCTTATGTCTATAAAAAAAGCTAGTGTGCGGTAAAATTTTGCATTTGGATCAAGTATAACAAGTATAAGCTCGTGGGCCGCCAAAGTACATATTGGCTCAACATAATAATATATTTAGAATAGAAATCCACAGTTCTATGTATTTTAGATGGAAACAAAATTTTAATGGCAACCCCGAAAATATTGAAACTATACCGACCATAAGTTCAATGGATTCGATTGCAACGGAAACTGTAAGTTTTTCATGTTGTTATTGGAAGTAGACAATGAAAAGAGAAATTGAAATTATAATAATAAATTTAATAATATAGGAAAAAAATGCTGTTGGATTGGAAATCGAATCCGAGGAACAAAGGGAAGCGTCAAACTCTAATTTAAATATTTTATTTGTTTTATACTGACTTAATAGGTATTTCACTACTACACTAGGTACATGGTTTACAATGTTAGCAGTTTGGTTTTTTGTTTTAAACTTAAACTAATGGGATGCATTTCTAGAGCAAAAAAGTTTATTTTTAATAGTTTATATTTAGACTTCTTTGCTCCATAAGTTCAATTGACAGTAACTTGCTGATTTACGTACCATATCTGTGTCTGGATTGGAAAGGTATTTCCAGTGTTGCCTATATCTCTTTATATGCGTAGATAGTCGATAAAAGCAGTATTGTAGTCAATTAGATAATCTGTTTTCAGGAGGAGTATATGGTTGATGGAGGACGTGTAATGATACCAGGACATTTTGCACTTGGAAACACCAGACTGGGTGTTGGACCGTCAAATGTCAACATATCAATATCACCTCAGCTGAAATAAGAACTTATAGAATTGACAATGAGCGAGGAAATTTCAGATGTTGTTATTATAAGTATTTTGTTTATTATCGTCATACTTTTATTAAAATTAAATGTATTGTGGCCCTTTGTCACCGTAATAATCCACAAAGAATAATATATTATTAAAGATAACTATAATATAACCTTCATTGTAATTTACGAAAAACAAAACATCAATCATCAGTTTAAAAAAGAGACAAACATTGTACGTGATACGTTATACTACCAGACTGCTTCCGGTTATGATAGCATCAGTGATGATAATCTTTGATAACACTGATGAGTAATTTAATTGTATAGAGAATAGCAGATTTTATTGAATGTGCTTTACAGCAGCTAGTGATGGAAGAGGTGTGAACTTTCCCAGCTCCGTTTTCATATTATTTATCCTGAAATTACCATACGAGAACTCGCAGCAAAAATTTCATGAGTTAGGTGTGTAAGAGATGAGTTCCTATGAAAGTTAAATGCTTTTGATGGGTTTTGTTTAAATGAATGGAAATTACACGAATACAAAAAACATGCTTTTTA